TAGCCATTTGTCGCGAATCGCGGTATACCACACTGCTGGGTTATGTTTATACATTTCTGTTCAAGTAGAGTTCCTCGCAGCTGGCATGTCTGTCGCGGCACGTCTGTTGGTACAAATTGCGCGACCTGGGTGGTGAATATAAATATCGACAACCCTTCTTTATGTACGGTACGAGCGGTGCAACCCACCTCCTGCAGGGCAAGACGGACTGCTGTGAATTTCAGGGGCGTCTTGGTATGATTGCCTGGTCCCTATTCGAGGTGAGCCGCTGACCTTGCTCTGGCCATGTATTGAACATCCATCTCTCATCACAATTTGAGTTTTCACTTCTATCGTTTGAGGCAATCTCGAAGAAAAAAGGCCATTCGTGACATATACAGGAGGCAGCTCACGTCCTTTTTGTTGCAACGGCGTTGCTCACGTAGTTGACAAGTCCCGAACAGGGCCGATCTTGCGCTGTGCACGGAAACCGTCACATTTACAAGGAGAATACTGATTTTGTAATACATTCAATAAAAGAGTGGTTGAAAGGCTGCGGTTTTGCTTTTTCTTTTACTATATATATTTTAAAAACAGACTGTTGTTCATCTGTTGTCCAACGCCAACATGGGCTTACCAGGAAGAGAACAGGAGAATCGGCCCATTTCCACGAGCTCTATGCTTTCGATGTTTAAGGCGGGTAATGGTGATTTGATCAGCGGTTAAACATGCCGCCATCATCCATCCGACGTCAAGTTCAGGCACAGGGCTGAAACACCGGCGATTCTATTCCTTATGTATACGGCAACTTGTAGTCGGCAAACACTACTGATTTCACCTTGACCATTTTCTGCCCTGTAACAGATAGTGAGCGGCGACGCCATTTAAAGCTGACTACTTGGTGGTGCTTGGTGCACATAGTAAGCGTAGTCCAGCCCGGAGTATCGCCTGATGCTTGAATGTATTGATCAGAATCCCATATCATTTGGAATTGAATCGAAGGGGGCAACTTGACCATTTATAATGGCACCGCCAACTCATCTGTGCCGGCTCCTGTCGCATCGGAAATAGCAAGCACTACATACATGGGTATCAAGGCATTCATAACGAGTCTCGACGCATCCGGTAGGTGATTGAACAGAATATCCATAGTCACTGAAAAACATGACGCGCGGCGATGTGAAGCCTGGGATAGTAAGTACGTGCATGCTGATGTCGGCTACAGGAACAGCGACGCGACTGCTGGTCAGGATGGCGATGGTGGAGAGTCATCACGAAGGACGCCCAAACATCACCGCCCGACCATTCATAATGATTGTATTTCTCATGTCCGGACAACTGCTGAAAGTGCGCACTAGTTACTTGTCCAAGACCACAGCCCTGCGGCGAAACGTGAAACTTTATGAGGCGTCTGCTCGGATAGGCGTTGCCGAAAATACAAGGGCATTTCGAATGAAGGACCTCCCACGGGGATCCTGACCTTCCAATAACAGCACAGATCTTCTATACTGCTAAATTTGGCCCTGTAGGGATGTTTCGCCCGGATAGGGGAGGGACGGGAACCATCTGAAAACGGTAGGTGAGTTTTCGGCGCGAGTGTCGCCCAACATCGTCCAACTCGGGATTATGTGACAAGTGCCTTGCAACTTGGCGATGCCTTGCTCCGAATAGCGACAAGACTTTATGCCGTGTTGGCTGTGGCCTGGTGTGCCCCCTTCGGCCCCGACGCTACCGTGAGAACGGGCTTCTAACTGCAACAAATCCATTCTCGCCCGGTGCCATTTGGGTGGCCGTTGCGAAGTTGCGACCGTGACCGCGGACTTACTCGAGGTTCCTCATGCTGATCTCGAGGTCAAGTGAGTGGTACTGCAGCATGCCAGACCCCGATTTTGGTTCGGTCGCTGCCGATCCGAAAATACCGGTCAGTTGATGCGCCTCACAGCCAAGCCTTTTCCAAGGACAGGTAGCTACTCTGCTAATATCTTGGCATGGGTGATTTATATGTCAATATATTGGACCATCTTGACGTATTTTGATCGGGTTTGCTGCCGCGACCGCATAAGTTGAGAGATAACACTACGCTACGGAGTAAACCAACCAACCAACCAACTACATGCTTGACAACCTCTTGAGTAAGCTTCTTAACCCAAGAATAAGCCTGTGCGGGGGAAAGACAAGATTGAAGACACCACGGAAATCTCCAGGCCTTCTCCACAAAGTGGCACAAGCTGCCGACGCTGCATTGTGACCACCAGGGGTTCCATTAGATCTACTCTTGTTTCCACACAACTCGCCATGGTAGATCAGGCTCCTTCCTCAACCGACCAGCTCATCCCCTATGGTCTAATTCTACGACGATCAAGAAGGGCACATGTTCTAACAATTTGCGAATTGCTATTGTACGCCGTAGTCTTGTAGAGCAGTCCGGGCCCCCCCTGACCCCTATCGGCTAAGACGGAACCTACGCGGTGGGGAGCTGGTCAGTTAGTGCCGGCGTTTGTGTCGAATAGAGAATCAAAGTCGTCATGTTTCTCATCCTTTGATGTTGTTGCGAGACCGTCGCACTTCGACGACTCGTCCGGCCGGGCATCACTGACTGGTCGAGCTGGCCCCTTGATGCGCACCCAGCTCCATCGCACCATCATCTAAACTGTCGCTGAATGAGAGGACCTTTTGCTTGGCGCAGTTTGCCCGATATGATCGGCCGTGTCTTTTGTCGCTTCCCTCTGGCAACGCCTCAGTGGCTGATTCTGGAAGACGGCAAACCACCACCATCCAGCCCCCCGGCAAGTCATGCTACTGGGTGAAAGAGACCATACGACCTCTCTGTTGCAAGTCGCGTGCTTGGGTCCGTATCATGTGTTTCCATTTTCAGCTCAACCGTCTCCTTCATTTCGTCTGTCTGGCGCTCTACGAATACCGACTGGCTACGCCAACATGCTTGGCTAGAGTCTAAATTGCAGGATCATGGAAAGCCTCTTTGTCGACCAGTACCTGTTTTCTTGTTCCTTGGGCTTCGTTCGGCGGCCACTGCTCCAATGAGGTATAGTCGCCGCCGCACCATGTTGGGCCTCGTGAACTGGCCCATGAGGCGTTTTGAGCTCCTGGCACGGGGCAGGGCAAGTTGTGATAATATGACGATCGTGAGAGATGAACTTCCTTTCTCGTCTTAAAACAACCTGGTCATTCGAGGACCGAAATGCCGTTTCGGGATCATTATAGGCTCCTATGTGATGCAACGTGTGCAAGGTCCGCTAGGATAGCAAAGTGGTGCCCTCCGAGGGCGTGGAAGGCCTTTGTGGAAGATGGGAGCTCCTTTGATACGATGTTGTTTGACTTGACGATGAAGCCGTGAAATCTCGGCCAAAAGGTATAAGTTGAAGCCGCCATCGCCTCTTCTGACATCTGGCTGGCTTGTCTCATCTCATCACTACTCCTTTTCAACGGTCTTGGCCAAGCAACACTTCTCATATAGACAAATCACCATGCAAACCTTTGGAGCCTTTATTGCCTGCCTCGCCATCGCGGGCGACGTCGCCGCTGCTTTGCCCGCAGCTGGTCAAACCCAGACTCTTTCCATCAACGCCGTTCACAACAAGAACTTCAAGCCAAACGGTCCTCTGGCCCTCGCCAAGGCTTACAACAAGTACAACGTTCCTTTGCCTGCAGAGCTTTCTTCCCTGGTGTCTCGTATTGAAGAGGACCTGGGACTGCAGAAGCGCCAAGGTGGCGGCCCTGGCACTGGTTCAGATCCTACCAAGCCTCCCCCCGGCGTCGGTGACCTGGAATATCTTGCGGAAGTTGATATCGGTACCCCCCCTCAGAAGCTATATCTTGACTTTGATACTGGCTCAAGTGACCTCTGGGTATTTAGCAGCGAGACCCAGAAGGGCCAGGTCAACGGCCAGAGGATTTACGACATCAAATCCAGCTCCTCTGCCGAGCCGCTTGAAGGAGCGTCTTGGTCCATCCGGTACGGCGATGGAAGCAGCTGCCGCGGTGATGTCTTCCTCGACCAGGTTACCGTCGGCGGGTTGACGGTCAAGCAGCAGGCCGTCGAATCTGCCAAGACGGTCTCTGACCAGTTCACCAGGGGCCCGTCTCAGAGCTCTGGCCTCCTCGGCCTTGCCTTTGACAAGCTCAACACGGTCCAGCCAACGCAGCAAAAGACGTGGTTCTCCAATATCAAGGACAGCCTCCAGGCGCCTCTGTTTACTGCCAACTTGAAGCACGCTGCCGGTAAGCACCTTGCACCGTTCAACGCGCAGAGGGGAGACACAACAGAATGCTAACGCGGTAAGTAACTAGACGGCACCTACAACTTTGGTTACATTGACGACCGGGAGCACGACGGGGAGATCTCCTACACCGACGTCGACGGCAGCCAGGGCTTCTGGGGCTTCACTGCTTCCGGGTACGCCGTTGGCAACGGTAACCTCCAGTCGGCCGAGATCCAGGGCATCGCCGACACCGGCACCACCCTCCTCCTCATCGACGACTCCATTGTCGACGACTACTACTCCCAGGTCCAGGGCGCCCAGAACGACCGGCAGATGGGCGGCTACGTCTTCGACTGCAGCTCCGAGCTCCCCGACTTTAGCTTCGGCGTGGGCCAGGCCAAGATCACCATCCCCGGCAGCATCATCAACTACGCTCCCACCCAGGAAGGCGGCTCTACCTGCTACGGCGGCATCCAGGGAAGCGGCCAGATTGGCCAGAACATCTTTGGTGACATTGCCTTGAAGGCGGCCCTTGTTGTCTTTGACGCTGGCAACAACCGTCTTGGCTGGGCTCCCAAGAAGGCTTAGACACGGAGGACCTAGACTCGCGGAGAGTCGGTGTGTAGTAAAGCCAAGTAGTCGCACGGCGCGGCTTTGTTGTGGGGAGAGACTTGTGATACCGTGAACATTAATCCTGTTGGCAAAAAGTGTACATATTGTCTATAGATTGCCGAGAATCTGTCTTGTATTCCCATGTGTGGCGTGTACTTGTTGCGACTGGCCTGGCCCCGGAGCTGTTCCTCATTCTTGTCCCAGCAGTACCTTCTCAGAGAGCATGGTATCGAAATAGCTTCGCACCTCCACAATCTTGCCCTCGTCGTTCCATCGCATCAGCCACGCGTACTCGTTGTCATATGGCTGGCCCGTGGTCCTGGTGGCCTCGCCCTTGGTCTCGACGGTACACCACCACCCGTCTTCTTCACGCTCCGCATCGACAATGACTCTTGTTGCCGTAAATCTGATGGGGCCCTTGAGGTTCCGCCCCAGCCGTTTGAAGGTTGCGTCTTCGTGGTCCTGGACGCTGTGTCGCGTCCCTGCCAACGAGTGCGCGCTGCCGGTGCAGGTCCATGTGACGTTGGGAACCATGTACTCTGTGAGGAACTTTTTGCGATGTTCAAGGTCTTCGACTTGCCCCAGGTGGGAGAATGCTTTGCGAACATGGTCTTTGGTGAGGACGAAGCCGGGCATTGCCGCGGTCTGAGGACAGAGGACAGAGTCCGGAGCCGAAAGGGTTGGGAGAAGGAGAAGGCGGTCGCAATTGATATTAAGTGAAGCTGGATATTTGTTGTTTCCACCAATAATAGTCTGACTTTTCATGCTCCATCTGGTGCGTTGGTCGGCCTCGTGTCGGTCGCCTCGCGGCATTTGCCCGACTTCGCTGTCTCATTACAGGAGTTGTGCTGATAAGCGTTGAAGCGCCACATTGATCATCCCTCCCTTGTGGCGGTGCCGTGAGCAAATTGCATCCTGAAAGATTTGGCAATTTTCTTTAACCTCCAAACGCTTTGACGTGGTTGCGTGGCAGAGTCTCTGAGCACATGGATTATCATTATTTGGGGCCAATACACCAGCGTATACGTAGTTGAACAGATTTCTCTCTGACCATAATTTTTAGCAGAGCAGCGAAACTTGTTCAAAACTTGTCTACAATCAGCGGCGCGAGCCCCGGGCCCAATGACGAGCGCACGATACATCTATGCCTGCACGCGAATCCAGTCGTCAAAAGATTGCAGTAGAGGCACGACAACCACGACGATTTTGCAAAAGGTCAAATTCGTGAAATCATCACTCATCACGTCCAAGCTGTGCTCAAGTGCAAAGTAAGTTACTGATCACCTCCAACATATTCACGACCCGCGCATTTTTCCCAACACAAGTTGGTGCGGTTAAACTTCTTTTATTCGAAACGGGGTAGGTATAAGTGAAATATAGACTACACGTATCCTAACCATTGACAATCTATTCGTGAATGCAACAGGCGACTGCTGGTGCACTCTCTAGTTGGAGATCTTGGGATTAACCTTGCTTCTACGTTACGCGTCAGCCCACTAGTCTAATCACCGTGGCAGAGTCGAGACACCTACCCAGTGGCCTTCTCGTAGGCGGTCCGACCGGCGTCGGTGATCTTCTCCTGGGTGTTGCGGTCGATGTTGTGGCCGCTCTTGCTAGCAGCCATGCCAAAGGCTATGAGGTGGTTAGCATCTAGGTGTAAAGGAATAGACGTCTGGAAATTACCCTTGTCGACGTAGTCCTGCTGCTCACCACCCTGGCCCTGTGCGGCCTGGTCTTTATTCTCCCCAGAGTTGCCCTTGATGCCCTCGGCAGCCTTCTTGACGAAGTCCATGGTGTGTGGTTTGGGTATGTAGAGCTTGACGGCAAGTTGTAAAGTTTGTAGCGAAGAGGAATATTGTGCCAACTGACGACAACTCTGCTGGCAGGAAACGCTTGCATCTTATACTCGCGGCTTTTCTCCTCACAAGTTACAACTAGTGACGTCTTCTGTCCTCCACAACTAGCTCTCCAAGCTGCGTGTTTGCCCAATGGCAGTATCATGATCACCATTCGGCCTTGCAACCGAGCTAACGAATTCTGGTCTGCCGAAACTAAAAGCGAAAACGTCTCCGCTACTATCTAGCAATCAACGAATCAATCCTTGGTGCCGCTCAACTGACATCAAGCCCAGGCCAATGGACGACTACGTCATGTCCCGCATCCCAGCTCACATCGCCGCCACAAGTGGCATTCATTGGAGCGGCGTTGCTAGCATGAAGCCACCAAGGACAAGTGCGTGGCCCCGATCGCCGTCCCGATCTTGGAAGAATGTAAACCCGTTCGCTTATCGAGATCTGTCATGTTATGACGCTCATTTGTGTGGAAGAATGGATGTGGTTGGACGGTACGACCAGCACATCGAGTCCCAAGTTTGGCGAAATGCCACGTGTAGTATGAAACATGCTTGCATTGTCGGAGAGCAAAGCAAAACTACTAACGAGTAACTAGTTCCTGTAACTCTGCTGCGCTCACCACAGGCCTTGCATTTGTGATCATGGCCGCTGGGACCGTACCTTGAGGGCCATTTTTGCTAGAGCCGACCCAGCATACTATTCCACAAATCACTTGTTGACAGGGACTTTTGAAGCATCCTCAAGAGGCTAGGTGTTGATCATTTCCATATTTGACATGGCAGCATGAGTGGTTCCTGATAAGCATAAAGCACCCAATGACTTAAAGGTCCAGTCAAAGCATACCCGGTAGACATGGAAATCTTACCCAACACTGCTGGTTTTGTCATTTGTTTCAATTTTACTTTGACTATCTGTATCTGTGTCGAGTTTGGGGTGACTCAGTTGGCTTGGATGAATGCTCTTTGCATAAAAGCTGCCGCAATTAGCTGTGCGGCTTGCGAGACTATGGAAGTTCCAGTAAGACACGCACACACCATTGGCAGGCGGCTGCTGAGCGGCAAGAAAGTTCTTATGCACATCTCTTACAGTATTATGGCAACAGTCAAAGTGCTACAAGTCGAATTGCACGAATTCGCAAACCTCTCGCTGGACGAAACATCACGTTTGATCGCGCGCGACAACACAGCAGTTCCAAACAATATGAAGACTAAACTAAACGCTTACCGCGTCAGTATACAGCAATTTTACCTGAAATTTAAACCAAAAAAAAAAAATAAATAATAATAGTCCGACCTCTACCTACAGGCTACGGAACTACAAGTCTCTTGTCGATGTAATGCTTATGCCTGGCGCTTGCCTCGACGCCTAGTCATAATCAGTACCATTGTTGATGTATTGCAACCTTTGAAACTAGCTGTAGCAATTAATCGCAATATCTTTGCCAACTTGAGGCAATTGTTCTCAACGTACTACAACTCCATCGCCATCCCTCAGCTGAGACGCTGCCAGGCGAAACGCATCGCCTAGAGCCCGCCAAAAGTCGTCGGCTAAATCCGAAGCCTGACCTAATCAAAGAAGGGGCCGCAAATAGTCAAGGGACCCGAAATCTAATCAAGTTTCAAGCTTATAGTATAACTATGAGGCTGGTTCCCTAATGGGTGGAGTTTAAAACCTGAACCAAGAAGGCTTACATGAACAATCAGTGGCCAAGAAATACAACTTCCAAAGTATTTTTGCTTCTCATTATTACTGTGCCATCAGTTTATACGCCATACGTCACGGCGTCCACGACTGTATGGTGAGGCGACGTAAACCTGACCAGTGCCAATAAAGACGCTACCAAGATGCTTGTTTCCGTCATTTGCGGTACGTTGCAGTTCGCTGTAGGCCATTCCACTTGACGTGATTTTATTCCATTCTCCGTCATCAATTTCGAAATCGGTATTATCGGTGCTCGTACCAGCGTGGCCGGCTACGATGCGGGCATGGAGCGAGACAAGGTGCCGGGATGGATGCACTTGGCATCAAACATCGGTGCACATTCGTACACATTCGTACAACGGCACGCAGCCAAGGCTTTCCTGCCTAGAAATAATCAGCCTATGACGAAATAGTGGTCTTTATTAATTACATCAGACTTGGACTGGCTCCGAACAAACGAGCTGTCTCGGGTTGGACAAGCGATTGCGACTTATGGTTTCAAGTCCAGCGCAGCTAAAGCTTGATAACAAGCTATTTGCCTCCTTGTTCTTCAGCGATGGGATGCACGTCCATACCCTCCTACAAGCCGCTGAAGTAGAATTCGTCTGGGCACCAAACTTCCATTCCGACGGAAACCGACTCCAGCATGCCGAATGGGAGACTGACCATTGTAATGCTCAAATGGAAAGATTTGCAGGGGAGTCTTGCGTTACTCTGGGAGCACGAGCGACAAGATGCGTGCGATTGTGTACCTTGTGTATATAACAGGCGACATAGACATGCAGGTCCGCTGTGATATCGCCTCCAATCATGTACAAGTTTATGTATATTCAGAGAATGGGAAAAAGCTTTTGCCTCTTCAATGTCGGCGTAATTCGATACAAGAAGTAGCAAGTTTTGTAATCGAAGCAAAGTATCTACCATGTTCCCAATCTTGGAATACAAGCAACCATCCTTGGTCTTCAAGGCTCTAGTTCCAAACTCGAGACCAAGATTGTAAGCCATCTGACTGGCTATAGTACTCGATCCGAAGGGGACGCAGTCTCCTAAGCGCCTACAGGCCCGTTGCACAAAAGGTCTTGGCCAGCCTGTTTATGGTGGTGTCAGTACTGAAGCCATGGTTTTGAATAGGCTCACTGGGCCGAGTTCCAAACGTACAACAGGTAGGACGCAGCAGGCAGCTTTTTGTCCGGACTTTGCGCAGATATCCCGGAAGTTTCGGCCATCATTAGGGGTCTCGGTAGCTGTTCTTGGAGTTAGCATGTGTAAACTGTTCAAGGGTACGCTTCAAGGCGTCAATACTCACGGGAAGCGCAGTCAAGGCCGATAACACCGAGAACAAGAGTCGAGCAGCACTGGGGATTGCTGTAAAGACCAGAGGGACAAATGGGACTGCCGCCGGTGTTGGAAGTGGGAACAGCAATGGCAGCACCCGCAAGGAGAGCGGCAACAGCGAGGAACTGCATATTGAATTGTGGTAGATTCAAGGTTTGCAACAGTAAAGGAAGTTGGGTGTTGAGATGGATGTGAATCGGAGCCGCTGCAACAAGGTAGGAACCAAGATTGGGACCTCTTGGGAGGAATGCTAGATATTTATACTTGTTGACCACGTCCTGTATGTATTTGAAAGTTTGGCTCTAAAACGATAGCCTCATTCCTTCTCGGACTTTGCGGTGTATCTCAAGAGAGCAGAATCAAGATGCAACTCTCTCTGCCGAGACTCTAGCCAATGACTTGCATCCATGTCGCCAGCCCGCACACGGGCTACATGAGGCTAGCCCCGAAGTTGCAGGCATACGATCAAAGCGATCAATAAATAAAGACGTTTGGATGCTTGGCCTTTACATCCTTGTAGCCGCTCAGGCCAGTCCATGCAAGAGCAGGAGGGGGTGTTGGCGTACACATAGAGCACTCTGTAGGGTCTCTGTCACCGGCCCAATGGATACAAGCAATTCCTTGATGGGGATGTGACCTCCATCATCCTGCTTTCCAAATTAGTTGGGGGTTGCCTAAAGCATATCCTGTTCGTAAAGATGACCAAATAAAGTGAGACACGCAGGTTCTCTCAGGTAGCTTCCTATCTCTTCGTTTTCTTGCTACCTTCACTTTTGCTCGCTGGACATGGAACTACTGGCTTATACCAAGCTTCTTTCAATATATTTTACCATGTGCAGGACAATAAACTCAAGACAAAGCTGGAAGATCATGGAGAGCAACTATGTACCACAAGGCATTGGCGAAATAGCCGTAGTGATTGTTATTAGTGATAACGAATGACGTGTCATGCCGCCCCTATGAGCATGGGTCATAAGGCCTTCAAGGTGGCAGACTCATGGCTATGCATAATGTAACATGCAGCCACCTGAAAGACAATGTAGTGGCCCGATTATCTGGTAGAAATACAGGGGAATGGAGAGGCTATTCTCACCCACACTCCGTCTACAACACAAGTAGCACCTCTGTCAGGCACAATGCTATCAAATCAGCCCAAACTCCGAATAGCCAGTCTGTCAGTGACAGACCACTTCTCGAATGTCTTCGCCCGGGTCAAGGTCCCCAGCTAATCTGAAACTGCGTCACAGTATATTGCATCTATATGAGCAAGTCTAAAACCATTGTGTTGGCAAACTTGCCACTTGGAATGGATGCTCAGCTGCCACTTGAATGGCTTCAACTAGACCCGAAATAGGTCTATCCCATGTATAGTCGACGCAAGCAGAGATGTACCGTTGCTTGCAAGGTACATCTGCTATAATGAACTATTGGCCCCGTATAGGAAATCATGCTAGTTAACTGCCTAACTAGGCAACACTCCTCTCGAACTTGTTCTGGATACTGAACGAGGACCAAACGTGGACTGCATCGTCGTTGAAGCTGTGTCGATCACTTTCCAACGCCACGGCGAAGCTCTTCCCGATATCTCCCGTCCCCTAAGAAGATAAACGGGGATTTAATTGAGACCTCACACCGCAATGGTTCGTCGCGGAATCGGAAATCACTTTACTGCTTTCCGCTCGTCCAAAATACGGGTAACAGAATATACCCCGAACCTGCTCCGCCTCGTTGCATTATATTGTCTCTCCTTTAAATCGTTGATGACAGGAGTGGATTCCTGTCAACAGGATCTAAAGAATTTAGCATGGGGAACCCTGGCGTCTTACGACCCCAACATGCATGTGTTCATACAGCCAGTACAACTCTTCATAACTTTTCACACCAGGGGTGCCTAATTTTAGCGGTATGATGGTAGTATTGCCACCGGCTGGACCTACACGTGTGCAAGGATATTGAAGCTGAACTCGTATTAGGCCGCATGAAGGTATGGGACGAAGGCTAGCCTGGAAAGAACCAAATCACCCCACGGCCAACTATATGCTTGCCCAATAGGAACTTCATCAAAACTACTCCGTATAGCGCCCACGGCAACCCGATTCATGTATACTGCCCTGTACATGTCAAATGCGGCAGAGTAGCACGCGTACTATTTCACCTCTCTGTCACGCCGGCCCTCTCCGATATGAAGTCTCCGTGTCGGGCTCGGCGTCCGACGGAGGAGCTTGTCGTTGCCACCCAACGGCCAGAAGCTGGGCTGTTGTTGTGATTTCGCATTGTGTCTTTGCCGTGATTGCAAAGCGCAAGTCTCCATCGCCCCAAGACATCCTGCACCGTTGATGCCTTCATACAGGGGCTAGAATACGATCCACGTGGACAGAGCTGTATCAGTTTCAGTTTGCAGCAAAAGAGACAGATGGATGACAAGTGGGCTCCAATAGCGGCGACATTATCCGCCTGCGGAGCCAAAAACATCCAGACGCCGACTTCTATCTGCCATGGCGTACCACTGGCGGAGCATGGTTCGGCATTTATTGACGTTGCCACAGATAACCGCTCTCCCCTGCCCGGCCGCGGGAAATTCGGGAGCAAGGGCCAGGGTATACGGTTAAAGGTGGCGTTGCAGTGGACGGGCAACGAGTTAAAAAGACATCCATGGCTGTCGGAGTACCGGGAGGATGCAAAGGATCTTGTCTACTTGCTTACTTGTGGATATGGATAGACGTGACCCGATGAATGGGGTTGGCAAATGACACTTCACCGCTGTCAAAGCATGGCCGGGATCGATCATTTACAAGCACCCGAATCTAAACAAAACATCAACAGAGCAGAGCCGGGGTTTCCTTCCAATCCTGCGTCCAGAACGCCTCCAGGCCCAGCAGCGCTGCCAAGGTTGGTGCAAATAGGACAATTCAAGAGAAATACCGGTAAAAGTTGATTCGGATGTGTCATGGCCAACCAAGATTCCTGCATATCAACAAGGACCAGATGCCGCGCAAGGGCAACGTAGCGATACCAGCTTCATGCAAACGAGGGAATTCACTCGCAAGAAAATAATTGCTGCAGGGGACAGCATATGGTCCGCCGATTCGTTCGGCAGTTTTTTTCAAATCTACGTGTAGTTATTCTGCCATTGCCTCTTGTGAATAAACTTGCAGCTTTCACCATTAGTATTCGTTGTCCTTCGAGTCCCGCGCTGGGCGAAGCTCTAGAGACCATGTAGAATCCCAAATTGGCAGTTATGACAAGTTGAAGAGCCGCCTTTTCCCGCCATTCAACTCCTCCAACAACGTGCGTTGTCAGCTTGTGTCTTACATAGGCAAGTCAATGTGGCGCCTTGAGGCATGTCCGTGGGAGCCGGTGCCTGACAGGCCGTTGTGTGAAACCACACAGCAACATGCAAAGACGGCTATGCCGACAAGGGATAGTCAAAGCAGCTATCGAAACAGGAAGACGTTAGTGATGGAGTCACCCGCCGCAATTCTATGTACGATTTGGTTGCCGCAAAAAGGCCCCGGCATAAAGCTAATGAGCTTGTGGTCAGGCATCATCAAACAGTGGTCATAAATCGGGCAACAGTCGAAGTAGCCACACCCCCAAGCAAGATGACATGCATATACGGAATGTAGGAAACGGGATACGCGGACTATGCTTGATCGCAGTCCGTAAGCCAAGCGACGTTACACAACAGGCACATGGCCAGCGCCGCGATAGTTTCTCCTGTGTTGTTTCCCCAAGGAGTAAAGTGTACACACAGCCGCAGCATTGAGCCAAGGAAATCGCTTCACTTTGACGTCGATTCTCTATGGATTCCCCGGGCCCCTTGTCTAGCCACCGAAGGAGAATCGGCTGGTCGGCTGTACCGCTACGTCTTCGCAATGTCTGGTGTCACTCGCAAACCGTCGTGCGAACTTGAATGGAAGCGCATCGACAGGCTACTCACCTCGCCGGTGTGCAATTGATTTCCGCCTATCGGGGCTAGCAGCCGAGTGAAGGAGAGTGTACGTCAGCCCCTTACACATATTGTACCGGCTGCCAAGGAGACGAAGACGCTTCTGTCAGCAAGGCCAAGTGATCAGTCATAATGGTACAAAGAGACTCGAGCCACTGTACATATCATCCGATGCAGTGTTCTGTAGCAAGGGGCTCCAAACAGCACAAGCTGTTGGAAATCATCCGACCTTCTACAGCCCCGGCGGCGATAGTTCGCCAAACTGCCTCGAACCTGCGTGGCGCGTTGGACAAAGCAAAACTAGGTCGAATGACTTGCATGCAGCGGCCCATCTGCCCTGACAAGGTTGTATTTTGATGGTGTGGTGAACTGGTGGAGCAGAGCGGCCGGAGAACGACGACGTTGAGTAAGACCAAGGTTACATTACAGCCTGCGGGCGAGAGAAGTCGAAGTGGCAAAGATGAAGTTGCCATTTCAGCTAGAACTAGGTGGACTTTTGATGATATCACATCACGGGTAGCCGTACATATGGCGGCTTGTGTTGTGTGGAACAGCCTCAGTTAAGTCAAGATAGCTGCTGTCCAATTCGAATCAGTTTCAACTCCCTTGTTCTTACATGGGCTATTGGATGTAGCCACCTTGGAGGCATGTGTTGCCCAATTTTACATGACAAAGATCCCATTAGGTGATATTTTCAACAAGGTGTGTCCCATTCCAAGGCTGATACGTTCGATATTTAGTAAATGTAACATATAGCGCCTTCAAAGTCCCAACTTGGAAGTTGCCATTACTGTTACGAAAATAGTATTCCTTGACGTCATACGTGCGACTAAACTCATCCTCAACGCTCTCAAGATGGTAGGCATCGGCAACGAGCTGAGCGCTGCTGCCCATAAACTTGTAGCTTTCCGCCCAACATGCCTGTTCTTTAACCTAGTCTGGAAGGCAGACACCAAATTTAGCTCCTCTGATTGCGAAAATAGACGGGCGCTATTTACTCCTGCATATTGCTCGGGTGTAGCGACGTGATGCTCGTTCAACTGCCTCACAATGTCATTCTTTTCCACAACCTCCGCCAAGTTGCCCATAACCCTACGCCTAGAAACGGTACTTGAAGGGCCTCTCGTAAAACTCCAGTACAAACGGTCTTTTCCATGGCTTGCTTGGCATCAATGTGGCTGACGAGTCAGAGCAGCGAGCATAGCAGACACTGACAGCGCACATGCTACCACACAGATCTGGGACATCTGATGCTGCGTTGGATGCGAGACGAATCGTGGTCTCTACCAAATCCTTGTGGCAACTGTCCACTGCAAACGTGTATCATCTGATCGACTTGCGTCCATCACTCAACCTCAAATTTAGGGTCCGATTAACAAGCACCCTCTCTGAGTTATCAAGCACCCCCATTGTGGCTTGCTGTGGCTGGGACACCCGATACCGGGCCCCCATAGATTTTTGTATGGGGATAACGTAAAGGTTGTCTGTACGGTCGCGCCTTTATAAAAAATCGCTCAAATTAATCTATTTAAATGAAGCTATTCCGGGATAATTATTGTCTGCACCGGCTGTCGCATAATATCATCCATCGCGGCTGCCTGCTGTGTCATTTCTTCAAAGACCTGATCCATTTGACCTTCAAATTCAGGCGTAATATTATCATCCCAAATAAACGAGGTATCCTGACTGCCCCATTGTGACTCTGTAAAAGGACGTTGTGAGGCTTTTAGCGATGAATTTTGTGGTGTTGAAGCCTTATTTCCGTCATTTTCATCAATATCGTCACAGTCTTCAATTGCGGCTGCAATACGCATATGGGCTCGAGGGCCCTCGGTGCCCGGCTCGTATGAATCGTCTTGATCAACAGCTCTAAGGCCAATAGCTGTTGAAGTTGATCGTGATACTTCAATGATGTGTGGCGTTATTTGTGGCCTGTTATTTTGGTGTTGTGGTGTTGTGGTGTGGTGGGTGTGTGGTGTGTGGTGCGCTGCAAGCGGCGTTAGTGGTGACTGTGAGGCCGGCCTGTCCAAATTGCCTTACTAATTCCTAGTAAAGTCCGACACCAGCGCCTGAAGGGGCCCAGCCACAATGGGGGTGCTTGATAACTCAGAGAGGGTGCTTGTTAACTAGGGCCCAAATTTAGGTGCATAAAGGCAAGCGAGTGCGCCACGAATGTTTCGTTAGTAACACAACGGTCTTGAGACCGATGAGCATGGCAACGTCCCCGGCGACACCAGGAGGCGTTGGCCGACTGGTTGTATATTGCGATACCAGAGGTAAACAGAAATGGCATCACGGCCATTTCAACGAGACTCTACCCAATCAAAAGCATATAGTATGCATTAGTTCCACCCTAGCATGTGTTGATGACGACAACATTCATGCTAGTGTTTCCCTGAGACTCAACGAGCCGCGTGAGGACAGTCCTGACTGGCTTTGCCTTGTCAGTCATGGATTCCGTACTCACCTGTAATCGTCAAATTGGTTAGAGGTTAATACCACTTCCCTTGAAGGAACAAAACAGCTGTTAGGTGGAATGGTCATACATCTGGAGAACATGTCAGATGGATACACTTTGCCAACGGATATCTGTGAGAGGTGCATGCCTTCGCGGTCGGTGAAGTCGATCATACCAGTCTGTCCAAACTAACAGCATACTTTCTGGTAGAAGCGTCCTGATGCTTGTTGAAAAGGGCTTGATGCCAAACTCTAAATTGATATCAAGACATGTGCAAATAGCCTGCGCAGAAACTTGTAGTTGCATGACTCGAACTCCGGCATTTTGAAAGTAGGTCATCATGGTACTTGTTTATCTGCATTTTTATATGCAACGAACATGTTGATAAGAATACAGAGAAGAAAACGAGTTGCAATGGAAATATGTGTTCAAGTTTGAGACTTACACTCAGCATGTACACCACTTGGACCAACTCAAGGAGTAAGTCAGTAGGCCCAGTCTCCCATACATACCCATTGGGAATATCAAGCACACGTCAACAACAGCCATCGACCTGACAGAGGTCATGAATGTGGCCTACCCCACTAACGAGGGAAGCTCACGATGCAGGAGCACTATGCTCTGCATCATGCTGCGCCACGCAGCGCAGGGTGACTGGCAGGCAACAGACGAGCCGCAGCGGATGCAACTGTCACTGATTTGCAAGAGCTTAGGGAACAAAACTTGCATATCCGTCTACGGGGTAACATTCTGCGTCTGTCTAGTCTGTTGGTTGTGTTGGTTCTCGGATGTTTACTGCGAGCTAATGTGCCTTCGTTCTTGAACCAATTGGTCAACAACCGGCTGCTGCCCAAGTTGCCTCTCCACTTCGCTATTGAGAGCACACCTGACAACAATCATCGAAATTCAGCTCCCATTTTAGGCTGACTTTGAGTCCCCAAATGCCTACACGGAGTGATGAGAAGCCGGCGAGGCCCCCAAAGCTCTCTGGGGCTCGGGCAAAGACAGACTATGAGGACGGCTCTACTATGAGGTGTGTCATGGCGACGATTCTGAGCTGGAGAAACTTGGTTATTATCGAGCAGGAGGCTATCACCTGATTAGTCTTGGAGATGGGCTTCATGGCAGCCGATATCGGGTTATTCACGAGCTAGGCCATGGTGGCTCCTCGATCGTATAGCTCTGCCGTGACTAATGCGAGAACACACTGATGTACGTTGCGATAAAGGCCTTCGTCGCCAGGATAAAGGAAGGCGAACGCCGCGAACTACTTGCCGTATGACTCAAAAACGCATCTCTGCCTAGTCTACCCCGTACTTCGGTTGAGGGTAAACTAAGCAGCCTTGACCTGATGACATTCGTTGCAAAATATCTGGCAGCGTTGTTGAAGCTCTAGCCGTCCTACACGGTCGTGGCATCTGCCGTGCAGGTGGGTTTTGTTAGCATTCGCCTTTCCAGTTTGCTAACTTGACAAGATTTTCGCCCGACAAACATCGTTTTGGCACTGCAGAGTCTCGAAGGTCTACAAAAGGAACAAGTGTCAGCGCAACTCGGAGGGTCCGTTGAAAAAAGCACTGAATCTGAGAGGATCTCTCCCGATCCCCAAAATTCCGCAAGATGGGGAAGGCTACGAGGACGAGAGGCATCCACCAAGTTGGAATGTTCTCAACCCGGAAGCGAAGGCTGATAAGGAAGGCGCTCGCTAAATCCGCAACAAGACTTTTGGTGAGGTGATCACGGCGGAACAGGAGCAGTGGGAGGATATAGTAGCCGGCCTGCTTAAGGACCAACCGGATCGAAGGTCAAAGGTGCAAGACCTGCTGAATGACGAGTGGCTTAGCCAAAGTTAACAAAGTGAAGATCAGATACAGACACTGCGCCGAAGCAGCACTAGTATAGAATACTTGCTGGAGCTTCGCCGGCCGCATCTGAGCTCGACATGAGGCTTTTCCCCCGAGTCAGAATGGTGTCAGAATCAGCTGGATACCGATCAAGCACGCGAATAACAAATATGGTTGGATGCATATAGAATATGAAGTAGTCGCAGAGCTTATACATACAGGAACAGACTTTGATGGTAATCTTCCACTATGTAGTCCAGAATATTGTTGTGTTGTGCTGAAGTTTTGACAAAGGGCGTTGTTTGTTGCGAGTTCTTCTTTGTCAAGCTACGACTCTTAGTAAAGAGGCATTGCACAAAGGATCAGGGACAACAGCCCTTTTTGCCCTCGTTAAGACGGGATAGATCACGCATTATATTCGGGAAGCATATGAAACCCATTGACGGAACTGGCGAAGCAGTTCATCTGGTCAAGAAGGGGTTTAAATTGACGAAACTGCAATTTCCACAAGCTTTGATGGAATTGTTAGCTCTTGCGGCATTACTTTGACACGGAGGGACTGATGAGAGTGGTCCAAGCTAGGAGGAATGCTAAGAGCGTCTTGGACAAGGTTGGGTGCTTGTCAGGGCATCAATGCTGGGAACGAGAATTGAAAGGGTTGTCAGCTCGAGCCGCGTAGTAGTGAGAGATGAGAGGACAATAAGAGACAACAAAATTTGGCCCAACACAATACTGCATTTAGCAAAAAGAGAGCATCGCAGTGATTGGTATTGATCTTGAGTGCAGACGCTACTAGTTTCTCACGCCCGTGACAACTTCTCTGGCGGAAACAGTCGCTATTGTCCTCGCAACATCCATCACCGTGCATTTCAGGAGAAATCACAGCCCGCGTCCCAATCTCCTGGTCCCTCCGTAACACTTCAATACCGCTTGCTCGTACCGGCGTTCTTTGGTGCACTGCCGCCACCGCTCTTCCCCCCTTTCCCGATCTCCTTGCCTGCGCCCGTCGCGTGCCCAGATCTCTCATCTCCCTGAGGCTTACTCAGGTCCTGGTTGGCACCGCTTGCTTCCAGCGGATCGCCACCCTCTTCCTTGGTAGCCGTCGCACGCTCGCCCTCTGGCGAAGTTATTCCTCGGCCAAACGCGGCCTTTGGAGCACCAGCAACATCATCATCTCTGCCGGACTTCGTAGCTTCCGCCGACCGTGGATTCAGCGACTTTCTATCTTGTGAGTCCTTGTATGGGGAGTGAGAAATGGGGGTTGTGTGATATGCTTTGGTAACGAATAGTCGCGGCAAGCGGGCGGCCTGTGCTGGTCGTAAACCCATGGTGGGATCGTAATTGAGGTTTTATTGTGAGGTAGAGGTGAGTCTTATTCAAACTATTGAGACGACGACCTGGTTATTGCCTGTGGCGTGTTTCTTCGCGGCGCACATTTGCGGAGTGGTCATGACGTTGACCATTCCTGGGGGAGGCGTGAGCCTGACGTCAGACAACATGGGTCATCAACAATCCGCTCCAGTGCTGTACTGTAATATTGAACAGCATAGATGTCAAGCTGCAGGTACGTGTACGCGTCCCGCCTCTCCATCTCCATGTCGGATCCAAGACGTGCCGTTGCATCGATTCCGTCGCAGCCCTTCTGCCCAGGAGCATCGACAGTGTCAATTTCGATTAGTCCACGACGACAGAGTCCACACAAGATCGGGATCCAATCCAGTTACTCCGTACATCTGCGCGGTACCCACCTGGGTAGGTTGCTATACAATGGCATATACTCTACAATCTACTATCCGTATCCAAGACGACAATCACGTCAATTGACACATCAATTGATGGCTTCGGCTACCACCGTCAACTCGAACTAGTGGACCGGTCGTCCTGGACCGAGCGCCCGGGACCCGTAACATGGTATCGCAATTGGACCCTGAGCTACTCCGTGCTTCATCATTGGCTGGGATCGATGCTTTTCATGCTCCTGGGATCGACACACCAGGTGTTTGGGTCCAATCTGTGACACGGATGACTCGCATATGGGGTATAATAATCACGCGGCCTATTTCAAAGCATAGCGTGGACTAAGTATTTGGCCAGGGGCACAGATTCCAGTCTCGCCGACTAATACAATCCCGACAACTACAGGATGGGCCCCGGGAAGCCCCAAGGCGTCAATATACACAATTCGACTCCATACTTCTCATTCGGGCTATCTGGGCAAGGGCGAACGGTTCTACTAGCCAATCTCAATGTTCATAGACCTCAACACGCCATGCGGCGTCCATTCTACCAAGTGGCACAAAGAAGCAGCTCGCCATGTGAGGAGATTCCCACCAATAAGTCGATAATTTTAGCATCCTTCTTTGCAACTCACCACAGAGTATCCCTTTTATTCACCAACTTTTGCTTTCACATGTCCAGTGCCATGGAACGCCCTTGGCACTTATAGTCGGACGTCGAGGGACGGCGCAAAGGCACGCCTGGTATTCGAGCGCGGACCCACCTTCCCGATTTGGTAATGAATACAGCTTCAATAACTTCAGGCACAAACACGACTACACCTCAGCAGCGCTCAATAGCACGCCAAGCGGAGTGGCTGAGTAGAGACCAGTCGCGCCAGGAGTCTGTGCCTGTGGAATCCAGGGCCGTTATTGTACAGCTTCGGGGTTTCCGTCTCAATGAGGCAAGCTTCTCCAATATAGCGTACGCCTCCCCCAAGCATGCCGGCCGTCCCCAGTTCAACTCCCAGTTACGATGCGGCATCTCGCCTCCACACAGCTACCGCAAGCGGAAGGGGACTCAATAGCTGAGAGAGTGCCAAACGTTGTCGTGGCTTTATTCTGCTGATAATTGACCCCGCCACCCGCGTGAGTAGTCGGCCATGCGGCCTCCCGCAAAGTTCGCTTCATTATCCATGGACGCATGGGCTTCCGCGCCTTTTACCACAAATGGAGACATTACCTCATAAAATGGCTTACGAGAAAGAATCTAGAGGATCTAGTTGATTTGCTAGCGCCGGAGGCGTTGAGTAATGGAGGATGCAGCTGGCATCACAATGGAGCGCCAAATGTTGATGCGAATTCTATTGACTGTCGTCTTCAATAGTCAACTAGATTCACTGAGGGCTCACATGGCGACAGTGTGACCAAAGCTCCCTCACGTCGGACTCTATATGTACCTGTTTTGTTCGGTCTCAGTCATTGTTTGCCAAAAGGGGATAAAATCAGCATCATTGCCATCGTCGTGCATGGTCTTTGCTCGTTCATCTGCTTCAAGACAATTCGCACCCGAGGACTGTCGTGTTGAACCGGTCAGTCCGAGACTTTGAAATAGCAGTTTCAATTTCCCTCCTCTCTCACATCCTCCTCTTTCTTCCCGGAGAGGCACCATGCACATTACGTCGGTAGTCCTCGCCCTGGCGGCCGCAGGCGCTTACGCCGCTCCAGCACCTGCTGCAGAGGCTTCTCCTTGGTGCTGGCAGCCTGGCCAACCTTGCTGGAAGGTCAAAAGAGTTGCCGAAGCCTTCTCGGAGTCGATACAGTCTTCCGGCGCACTCAAAGAACGCACCCCCGAAGCCGAATACAGCAACTCTCCTGGCGGAGCCGCGTATAAGATCAAGAGATCCCTAAATGAGCTCGCCCACGTTGCCTCATTGACTGCCCGCGAGCCTGCCGAATACTACCGCGACTTGGGGCTCGAGACTAGGTTCGCCGCTGACGAAGGACTCGACAAGAGAGAGGCTGTCGCGGAGCCATGGTGCTGGCAGCCTGGTCAGCCTTGCTGGAAGAGAGACGCCAGCAACGACCCAGTTCCCATGAAAGACAAGCGTTGGTGCTACCGGCCTGGGCAACCCTGCTGGAAGGCCAAGAGAGCTGCTGAAGCCGTCATCAGCGAAATTCGTGACATCTCAAAGAGGGACGAGGGGGGCGACGCTCCCTTCAACCCCGGCAACCAAGGCGGCCACTTCCCTGACGTCTGCAACGGTCCCAATATCTTGTGCTGGAAGAAGAAGCGTGAGGCGAGCCCTGAAGCCAGCCCTGACGCCAACGCCGAGCCTTGGTGCTGGAGGCCAGGTCAGCCATGCTGGAAAGCCAAGCGTGATCTTCACGCTCTTCATTTTGCCGCCCGCAACGTTGTAGAATCTCTTGAATGAAGAGTCGAGGCACATCAAGGGGCTCTTTGGGACGAAATTCTAAGTATTGTATTAGTCATCTCTTCATTTTACGCGGACCTGGGTGGATCAGCCGTCGATTTGTTTTACTAATGTCAATGGCGTGGCCTTTTTCTTTTTGTTTTTGGGTATGGGCAACGATGGGGAAATGAAACAGAGAAAACATGCGGGGCATGGAAAACGCCTGGACGAGGATATCCAAATGAGTTTATGTTGTTTCTTTTCGTTTCTCCCGCCGTGCTGAAGAGAAGTATTCAAGCACGAGCGTTCTTTTAATGCCACAAACAACGCAGGACGGAAGCCTGTCGTTTGATGATCGTTGTGTGCACACACAGAGCAGCCAACCATGTTCGCCGTGCAGATTCAATGGCAGGGAATATGGACACTGCGCTCAGCCATGTATACTGCCCGATATAACATCCCAACGAAAATACCGTTTGGTACAAAACTTCTTCCATGGTGCAATTCGTGAGACCATCTGGCTAAGATGTGAAGTCTTGCAACTGGTCATATGACTAACGGCCTCGTGCAGCGTTGGTTGCTTCAATCAATGAATCATCGGAAGACAAGTCCAGCCAACTGATAGGAAGATACATTTAATAATCTACGCGGCGATAAGCAAAAGACGACCAGTCGGCAAGAAAAGTACATTCACCACAAAACGTAGTAGAGGTCTTCCAGGTAAATCCTCTAGTAGCTAATGGCACCAATGGCCAATTCCCCAAACTATTCTCCATACACAGCAGGGATTTTTGGTGACTGGAGTTTTCTCTCTTGTCTTTTAGGACGTTGGCATATCAAGATACCCGTCGGTCTCGGTAATCGAGCGAAGCATCCGGAAACCTGGCGTCGACATGGGCATGTACGTTCAATCATTGCGATCCTCCCCATTTGGCTACTGCCAGGAAAGCACCGCACCCAAGATTGTTCGATTTCATCTCCGTTTCTGTTCCTCAGTCACCGGCAGTCTTGGGCGCAGGCTGTAGAAGCACACCTCGGACCAGTATGTCGCGAGAAACTTGAACGTGTTTTTTGCGTTGTTCATTTTTGAATGAAGAAAAGGAAGAAAGAGAAGAAAATGGAGAATAATTTTCTGGCCTTTTTGCTAACGGGCCAAAGTGGGGTCCCTGTGTTTGTGCCTGAGAATCTTATTATGCACTTGGTGTTGCGGCCTGGATTCTCAGGCATGCACAAGGGGCACAGGATGCCTAGGTGGCTCGAGCTCCATCTTCAAGGTCCTTCATCTGCTTCACCGCGCGCCGTTCTTTGAAGTCAATCGCATTTCCAGCCGGTACGTACCCGGGTACTCAGCGCTCCGAGCATTGATGCTGAGAAATGGCCATGGACGAGAAGCGAGATTGCATAAAGTGAGGACTGGCAGGCGTGCAACTAGGCGGATCCAAAGGCCGAGCCTTATGGTGTTCTCCAACGTGGCGGCCCTGCTTGCGCAACTGGGGCGTTCCAGGGGTCCCTGCATTGTAGATGGGCATTATTTCATGACGGGAGACTCCCGACGGAATTGCCATCCATCTCCATTGCTGTTTTGTATCAAGCGGAATTAAAGTGTGGCGATGCCGTCATGACCCCGCTGCACAAGAACCAACATCAACATGTGAGCCTTCAGCTCATGTCCAAGCTGCCCACCTTGCCATGCAATTGGTGGCCAAGTAGGCTGTGAGAAAAGCATCATTTGCGCCGCTGTCCATTTCTCCGTTTGCCCTTGGCACGTAAGCAACACGGCTGGCCCATCCTCTCCCATGGTCGGCGTGTGTGGACTTGGCGTCACTCGGGCACCTCCAGCAAGTCCAATTCAACTCTGGCACACACTCCCATCCCCGTTGCCTTTTTAACAAACAATCACCACCGCCGCCATGACAGACCATCACATCTCATCCAAATTCTCCAAGCTCAGACCTTTCGGCTCCGACGACGAAGACGGAGGAGAGGGCATTGCCGTCGACTCTGTGGGCGGCGGAGGTCGCAGTACGCGGAAAGCCCACCACGCAAAGCAGCAGCTCAACGTCAGCAATGCTCTTCGTAAATACCTTGCCAAGCAGAAAGTCATTGCAGAGCACGATGCGGGCATCGGCTCCGATGAAACTACCCCTGCCCTGCGCAGCTTGCTGGGCAAATCTCACTTCAACGTGCCCGAGTCGCTGTTGGACAGGTCCCGCCCCTTGCCAGAATACTTCATCAGCTCCAGTCACAACACATATCTCATGGCGCACCAGCTGTACGGGTCGTCGTCGGCGTCGGCATACGAGACTGCCTTGAAGACGGGGTCGCGGTGTGTTGAGATTGACGCCTGGGATAACAGCGCCAATCCCGAGGAACCCAAGGTCACCCACGGATTCACTCTGGTGTCACATATTTTGTTCAGGGAGGTGTGTGAGACTATTCGGGATGTCTTTGACGAGGAAAAGGCCATTGCGCAAAAGGACCCCTCGCATCCTGTTGCGCCTATCTTGCTGTCGCTCGAGAACCATTGCGGCGAGCAGGGACAGAAGCGGCTGGTGGAGATTATGAAGGAGGTTCTTGGGGATCGACTACTTGCTCAGCCGGTTATACAAAAGGGCCATCGGGAACAGAGCGGTGAAGATGAACACGTATGTCTGGCTGATTTGGGGGCCTGTATTGCTGTCATTGTCGAGTACGATCTAAAGGGAGATGACGGGGCTGCTCAGGAATCCGAGAGTGAGTCGCCGTCGGACAATGAGCAGGAAGGGGAGGAAGCCAAAGCCGCTCGAAAGGCATACAAGGAGAAGACAAAGGAAGCTCCTCCCGCCGGCATCATTCCTGAACTAGCAGACTTGGGTGTATACGCCCAGTCTGTGAAACCAGTCGACAACTCATGGTTCAACCCGGGTACTCTTGTAAACGGGCCGCACCATCACCTCATCAACGTCTCCGAATCAGGCCTGTCCTCACACCTCCCCCATGAATCCATTCCCATCGCTGCCCACAACTCTCAACACCTCATGCGCGTCTACCCCAAGGGCACGCGAATCTCCTCATCAAACCTGAAGCCCCTCAAGTTCTGGGCCATCGGCGCCCAAATCTGCGCTCTCAATTGGCAGACGTTTGGCACGAGCAATCAGCTCAACGACGCGCTGTTCAGCGGCTCAGAAGGCTACATCCTGAAGCCTGCAGCCCTTCGAAGCGGCGGCGACGGCAGAATCCTCACTGGCAAAAAAAAAAGACTCCGTCTGCACGTCGCCGGAGCAACAGATATCCCCGTCCACGAAGACCGAGAGGCAGACTCTCTCAGGCCCTACCTGACGTGTAACTTGTACAGTCCAGGCGACATTGAAGGCGACACATATAAGCGCAAGACGACGCCATATAAACATCACAAATTTAGCATTCTACATAGGGGCGATAACCCTCCGGTTACAGAGCCAATTTGGGATGAGACACTGGAATGGGTCTATGAAGATAATGAGCTAGTCTTCCTGCGGATGCTCATCAAGAGTGACGATGCGTGGGCCAAGAATCCCATGATTGCTGTAGCTGCTATTCGGCTACTGTATGCCGTGCCTGGATGGAGCTTCATTCGCATGATGGATATGAAAGGCGGGGAGACAAAGTGTACAATCCTGGTGAATATTGAGATTGACGACGTTTAAAACAACACGCAACGAAGGCAAAGACCGTGTACGAATAACTTGTAGATCCGATACAGAAATACTATTTTTTCACTCTCTCATTCATCTAGTTACCTGAGTGTAATCAACTAGCAATCTCTCTCCCAACATTTTTTCCAAAAGGGCATCTCCATAAGCCTCGTCTTGTAATTCTCCTCAATACACCCTACACTCTTCATCAACCTTGGCCTTGCCACTCACCAAGTCCGCCGTTCGCGGATCAACCATCTCGGTTCCCTTCCAAACATACATCCAAAATACAAGACTGCACTGTATGGAATGCAAAAAGACGAATATGACTAGCACGTAAGTGTATGTAGCGATGAGACTGGTGGTGGTGAGATCAACAAACCAGTTGAGTACTTGGACAGCCGATTTGGCCGTCACAAGAAAGGTTATGAAGGTGACGAGGCTGACGAGGGCAACGCAATAGATGGCAAAGCCAGATTTGGTCCACTTGACAAGGAATCCGGGTGCTTGACCTGGGGATAGTATCAGCTTGTCTCTGCTCGGGGTGTAAGTCTTGTGAACAGAAGAGCGAGACGGCATACCTCTTGCCAGACCATAAAACGTTCTAGATGACGAGTAAAGATGAGCATTACCACAATACATGTGCGAGAGGAGAATCATGGCGTTGATCAAGTCGGGCAGCCCCGTGATGCCCAAGTTCTGGGTCCCAATCGCCCACGGACTGGCAGCCGACCCGGCGGCATTATCTTCAATGGCGCCCATGAGCCTCTTGTCCCTGGAACTGCAAACAATGCCCACTGCCAAAACGCCGAGCACACGGAACCAAACCAACCTATATAAATGAGCTTGGCGACGCGTGGGTTCGTCCGTCTAGGGTTCTGGATCTCTCCCATGCCAAGGGCAATCATATCCGGGCCGGAAACGGTGAATCCGGAATACAGCATGGCCTCCATCAGCGTAGTAAGAGTGTGTTGCGTTTTCGTTCTTCCAGTATTGCATCAGCGTCGCGACGGCACTGTACTCGGCACAGACGAGCATAACCCCCGCGTAGAAGTAGGTCCATCCCATGGCAAATCCCAACGCCGGATCGACAAACTCGAAGATGGACCCCCGTATCGGTAGGTATGCGCACATTTCGGCCACGCAGAGGTTGCACGGCCAGACGAGGAGCTTCCCCATGGTATGTAGGCCAGGAAGAGGGAGAGCGTGCCAGACTGAGATATATTCTACTGCCGATGCCGACGAAGAGGCCTTTTGGCATGGATCCTGCTATCGCCGTAAGCTGGACATGACGGGGGGAGTGGCCGCGTTTTGTCTCGCCGTACTTGACACGGATTGCGGCGTTGCCATCACTAGATTTGGCTGCCTCCTCGGGCACATTTTTTTGGGGGTAATTCGGATTCAATGTCGGTCATTGTGACTGTTGGCTCGGGCTAAATATATCCAGTTTGAGGTTCTGAGGACGTATACTGAAGCGGGCACGAGGCGAAGAGACTTCCTTCCCAGGCAACCAGATATGCAATGACATGAAAGACTTTGCAAGACAGCAAGCCATCTACCTTGTCTCCGGGGAGCAAGCAGCGCCACGCACAATGAATGGAGCATCGTCCGCCTTGACGCAGCGAAGGGCTCCGACGACGTATTTCTCTTCGTGCGTATTAAAAGCACTCCGGCAACCCTGTAATCGGAGTGTTGATACTTCTTTACCGGTGGGTTTCCAGTGGTGACGGACATGTATATTACAAAAAACCATCCATTGGTCCCAATTATTGGAAGTAGGCGTCTCCGCTGCTTCAAGGCGATGGCATCATGCAGTGTCAGCAGCACAAGATATCATGGCCAAAAGAGGAGGGTTGCTTACTTCAACATCCGTCGGCCACCGATCTGCCGCGACGTAGTGAATAACCAACGTCTCATCTGCTTCTCATCATGCTTGTATCGACCGAGCTGGACGAAGCTTGTCCCCGACTGGCACGGTATGGGAGACATGGCTAGTGGAACGAAGCGGCTCCTCTGCTCAGTCATTCCTGGGCAGGGCTTCGGACTTTGACGCCCATGACTACAAGCCACAATCAACGACATTGCGCAAGCACCTGATCACTGTCGATCGACTCACACGCTGTTGAAGCGTCGATGCGGTGAAGTAATACGGCGCCGTTTCACTGGTCGACGCCGGTCCTGTGTAATTTCATCCACGTTGGTCCTTGACGAGGAAATACGGCAACATGGACAATTTCCCGAGGGATCAATCATATCATGTTTCCATATGGGATCCGCTGCAAAACACAAGTTTCCCCAACCATCCTACCAGCACATCAAGTCACTAGGCAGTTAATACTCCGCCAATGAAGCTGCTGCTGCCAAGCGAATCAGGAAGTCGGCTTTATTTCAAGCTAAAACAAACAACACAACTCCGTAGTTCGCAACGCCCACAAAGAAAAAAAAAGGCATCGCATAGGAAATGCGATAATGAATATCATCTACCAGTCGTGCAAGAAGCCCTATAGCTCATAACTGCCGAGTACGGCACCAACCATGCGAAAAGGCGGTGCGTATGCTGCGCCGGATCAGTCAATTCTACCACTCAGAAGGCGTGTAGGTTTGAAACCTCAACGACTCTCCAATGACATCTTTCACTTTCCTGTGTATTTACCTCCCCTTAATACACCTATTATTATGTTTTTTTAATGATAGAAACTTCCCCCCTAAAGTATAGACAGTATGAGTCTCGGTTCCCATGCCCAAGCACAATCTGACTCTCGCCCGCGCAGGCCTTGTCCCGGGTAGCGCAGCGACACTGATACCTCGGGACTTCCGGCCCTCGACCCAACTGTCTATCCTGTTTGACGGAAAGGAGGCTGAACTAGCAAATCCCTTTCCTTTCGTGTGAAGGAAGTGAAGGCTGCGCCGTCGGTTCAGTTTGATCCTGAGGTATCGTATTTCGTGCTACTGTCGGGGTATGGTGACTCTGTGTGCGAGAGCAGGTTGCCAATCACCAATCGTGCCAAACTTGCAGCCCCAAGCACCGATTGACACATCATGCATGTTGATGTTGGTTGATCTGGACGCCCCCACGCCAGACGACCCCAAATTTGCCTTCTGGAGACACTGGGGTCTACCAGGTTTGCAGCCATTGAGGGATGTGGATGGCGCTGTGGGCGAGACGAAGCCTGCGCTGACAGAATATCTCGCCCCTGGACCAAAAGACAAACTAGAGAGCGAGCTAATGGTGATGTAGTTCTGGCCCTCATAGATATCTCTTCCTTCTTTTCTGAGAACCTCACGGCCTGTGGTTGTCCAAAGAAGATGTCGGCGGAGAGGGATTTGTGCAGAGGAGACCCTTTGACACGGCAACTTTCATCACGAGGCGTGGCTTGAAACTCGTGGGTATGAATTGGATACTCGGCGCCGGTGACGGATGGCGTGACTAGAAATAAAGGAGACACTCTGCTTCCAAAGAGGGGATTTGAACCGCGCAATAAACCCTTTGTGTATGTGTAATGTGAACACTTGACTGGAATTATAGTATTCTCGACTAATCTGAACTATAGCATAGCCATGGTGGACATGTGAAGATGCATGATCCAATCCATGTGTCTACCAGCGCGAATGCACTTCATTGTCGAGCGGGTAGTTGAGAGATAGGAGTTAGAGTAATTGATTAGCCTAGCCAAAGAAATCCGTGGCATTCAATGTATCAAGTCGGCAGGTCTGGCCAGGACTTGATGGTCTGGACCCAAACTAATTGTAGATATGCCACGAGCAACATCTCCCGCAAACCGTGTGCCTGCAATAGGTTACGTTTGAGACAGAAACCCGGCTAAACTACCTCTCGATCCAAACTACTTTACCTGGTATAGGGTACAGTAAAAGGAGTAATGACAGACATATTATTACCATTACCTGTGGCCGGGTCAATCTCTTCATCCTAACCTCTCCTTTTGGGGAACTCATGAGCGATGACAATGTCCGATGTCGCTGCTGGACCAGAATAAAAGACATTAAATACAAAAACTGTCATGACGATTGACACTGCGCAAAAAGTCGGTGTGCTGGATATAGCAAGGGCAGATTTGACATAATGGCAACATCCGAGCTTGCCGGCATGTGAGGGAGACATGCAAAGCACCGGAGACACGACGCTCGTTAACGGCAAAGTTCTCCTTGTTGTATACAGCAGCAGTCGGATTACGCAATATGAAGCGAGCAGCAGTTATTTGACCGCTACTCGACATCTGTTTGATGTGCAAGAGGTTGAAGACGTGATTGTTTCATTTGATGGCTGAACCCGATGATCGGTGCTGGATTCGGTCATCGAGACTTAAAATGAATGAAGTAAAGCACCTGGCGGGTATCAGGGCCGTGGGGTGAAGAACCTGGGGGCATGTATCATGATGTATGCACGTGGAGATGGGATAGAAGACTTGGAGTTGTAGTTGACGTACTCCGTACAGAATGCACGAATGCCCCTGACTTGACGGGGACGAGTTCCGGCGCTATTTCAATGCCAACAACTTCCTGCAATTAAGAGACAGCTGTGCATTCTTGGCATGGGCTGGGTGGCCGGCACTTCTTAGCTGCTGTTCCGCGACTAAGGCCGTTTCAGTCAACGGTAGAAACAGAGTGCAAGCAGGCAGGTCAGGTTGCATCGCCAATTGTTGATGTGTGAACCATACCGCAAGCGATGTAGCATGAGAACGTCATGCCTGCCTCTTGTACTGTGCGAGGTTCCTGAGCGTCCAAAAAATCGGCGCTTTGTTGACGCTATGATGGCTGTCTCATCGTAGTTGTGAGACAGCTAATGACCTCGCTTGCGACTCCGCCATTTTCACCAAGTTGACCAATGTGCTGTCATCGACAACAAGATGTGTCTGAGCCAAGTCTTCAATCAAACTTACTCGACAGTATCCAACATTGAAAACGAACGATGCTGTTTCTGTTGGGGCAAACAGCTCAGTCCAAGTACGTCACAATTCTAGTCATATTTCATCACGGACAATTTTGTGACGTCGGTCGCGGGAAATGGCATGCCCCATGACGATTGCCAAGTCTATAACTTGTACAACAACTGCAGAAGCCAACCAGTCTGAAAGCATTTGCCTGATTCCTGCCACGGGGGCATTCCCCTCATCCTAGATGGCAATGATAGAGTCGGCACCTGCGGGTTTGGCCACAACAATCAATTCACTCAGAAAAATTGCGAGACTGTTGAACCACTGCGATTTGAGGCCACAGGTGGCAAACACTCCGTATGCTGTCTTGGAGATCTGGGAAGTCTGAGGCTGGCAAGCTGGCCTTGCGTCGTTATGCACTGTTTTCAAGCACCCTGGCACACGGAGCAGTGCCGATCTATGACATCAAGCGAACCCACCTGGGGTGCCAGAAGAGGTGAGGAGAATTGCTGCCAATTCCCTTCAACGAGGTTTTGGTTTCTCAATGGCCCAAAACAGCCGAGAGGAGATGAGGATTAGCGGGGGCGCCGTTTCGTTTGATAGCGATTTTTTTTGTCGATGCTAATTTCCATGTCCCCGCCTTGTCCACGAGGATGGAGCATCGTCCTGCGGCGGATAGGAAGGTGGAGGAGGGTGCGGATGCTAGTTTTTTTGGTCCTCCGTAAAAGAGCCCCTTCAGAGATGTCCACATCTAGAAGATTGCTAAATCGAGTTGCAGATATTGGCGATACTCTTTCGGTGTTATAACGGAATCAATGTCGAACAGCAAAATTTTAGCAACAAGCAACACAGGCGCCAGTGAAGGGTGGTGACAAACAGGGTGTTGAAATTGAGCACGGCTTCTTGCAGCCAGGCCCGTTCCCCTCGCAGCCCATGATGAAGGCAGACACTGTGTTGACCGTGCGGCTGTCGTAGCCGGGAGAATCTGATTTGCATCTCGAGCACGGCAAAGAGCGGCGTGGCAATGCAGCTAAGAAATCCCCAGGCCGGGGATTCTGGCCCCTTCAACTTTGACGGGGTGGGCGGCTTGAAAGATCAGACAGATGGTTCGCCTAGTTTGGCCGGCCGGCTGAAACGATCCACGGTGCCGTGACTATGGTGGGAATGGAGTGTAAACGATCTGGAAAAATTGAGGGTGTTGACGATGAATCAGTTCCCAATGACGAACGGTCATGTGGGTGATGTTGTTTCTACAACCATAGTCAAAGTCCGCGTTGATGCGTGATT